TCCTACCCGAGTAGACTGTTATGGCGACCTCGAGCTCCCAGTAGCGCCTGGCCCTCGCCTACGCAGCAGCACTAGCACGTTCTTACCGGGCTTGCAGAGCTCGAGGTACGTCTGGTCAGGGCGGTTTCTCGTTCCGAAGTGAAAGGCACCGCGAGTGGCTGCCAAACGGTCACTATGGCCTTACACCCCTATTTTCCAACCTGTTGAGGATTTATACTCGTCCTTCTATAGCCGCAGAAGAATCCCCGTCTATCTACCCATCACAGATCCAACAGGAATGATGGGCTGATTACTCATTATACAAAAAACTATATGCGAAGTTTTTCGCGGAAACCAAGTTTGCTGGATATTAAATCCTGTCGAAATGCTTATTCTGTAGGATACAGTATGGGGCTAGAGGGGTTAATTAGATTCCCCACCTCTATTTTAGACTAGGAATTATCAGTGCGATTAGCAAGTAGCACTATCGACCGATCATGAACCATCGTGGTGAAAGATTTGAGTTTGAGCACATATGTTGGTACCCGAAAGATGGTGAACTATACCTGAGTAGGGTGAAGCCAGGGGAAACTCTGGTGGAAGCTCGTAGCGATTCTGACGTGCAAATCGATCGTCAAACTTGGGTGTAGGGGCGAAAGACTAATCGAACCATCTGGTCCATGTGCTTAATCCGATCCGCAACAGATTTTTTGTAAATAAGGCGGAATGTCACCGTGCAAGTCGGCATTCCGAGCTATTTGAACTAAATAATTGTAGCTCTGTAGGTGTCGATGTGAGCCAAGCATGCAACATGTAAGGTGTCAAAGCATTTCGAGATAGTGTAGTAGATAGTCGACCCGGTCACACGCTGATTGGCAAAGAGGACTCCAAGCTCCGGTCTTTACTAGCCCAAAGACGCCTCGGTAGCTCTTAGCCACAGTCGCTAAATTAGACAGAGTCCAGTCTCGCCAGCTTGTCCAAGCAGGATTACTCACTCCTATTTGCTAACCGTTTAGGCTTTGTATCTAGGTTTATACCCTCATCTACGGATATTCAAATCCGATTAAGATAAATGTGTTAGCTAATAAGGCGTGGACATTCCAACCGCGTTTCACAATAATGGGAGTTAGAATATCAAAACCTTAAGAACGCATGCTCCCTATGTGAAATTGTCCGCTCGTTCCAGACTGGCTAGGTGCTCCTTGCTTCTTCATTCTAGCCATGACCATCGAAATCCGATGACTGCAGCTGTAACCCCACCCCCATCTAAATCCCTGCTCTCGACTGACGCCTCCCTCCGTCATAAAGCGAAAAAAAGTTTAAGTTTAACCTGGTAGCAGATGCGGGGGGGTCATGCCTCTTCCAACTTTTTTATTTCAGGAAATTACAACGCGTTGAAGTTGAAAGGCTATTTTGGTGATAAAACATCAAATTTTGCTTGGTTTGTTTTTACTAGGTCATTCCTGAAAGCAATCATTCCTTCTCGCAACTGCACAACAAGTTTCAACACAGAATCGCAGACTTGCTTTACGTGTATTTCACTTTTACTACGTATCACATTTAGGAATGACCCACTCGGTAAGTGGATTACTTTTGATTGGTCCCTTTTTGTGCGTGGTCACCAATACATTTTAGGTGGCTAACACATTTTCATGAGAGTCGAACACTAACGTTGATGCACTAAGAGCCCTCACACCCACACAAAAGACAGCGCTTGAGGGAAGGTGTAATAGTAACGTGTAACACAAAAGGTGTTACGCAAGGTGATCGAACTGTGGCTTACAGCGTAGTAGCGGCACATCAGAATTCTGGCACGAGATCCTCCCACTACCAAGAGCGAGGGTTTTTCCCTGCTCTGTTAACCAGCCTGGGGCGGTACACCCTTCCTTAGTGACCTCGGTACAGTCCCTTACGACAATGTCCCAATGTCGACTCCTGGTTTGAGATGGACGCGCCATCCACATCCTGGGGATAGTGACACCACCACGCATGCCACAGCCCTCACACCTTACTACCCGGACAGAAGCGTATCCGTGACAAGTTGGCGCCACCCAACCCGGCGTCGACTATGGGAAACTTGGCAGTACTAAAGCTAAACCTGGACCACACTTCGAGAACCACCTTGACCAAAACTCACCTACTTGCCTACAGTCTTCTCCGCTTTCTTTACTTAACTAAAGAACACCATAATCTTTGGTGAAAAGGGGTATACTCCCCTATCACATACACCATTTTTTTCCTGTTGCTCACTCGCCAAGAGGAAGCATCGAGGAGAACGGATAGACTGCTTACTTCCTGCATTATGAGCGCAGCACTTTAACCCTTCTAGCCCCAACCTTATCCTGTAGCGATTATACAGAATAAGATGACATGATTATTAGATTATACATCAAAACTGCTGGGGGTATGCTATTGCAACCCCCTCCAGGGTGACGGTACAGCAATCGTGCACTTCCAGCACAAAATAGCTGCGAAAGTGGACAAAAGATGAACAATGTATCCACCATCTGATAAAAATGGTGTGTGCTCATTGGGCGAAACAAACGTAACACACACGTTAGTACCTTTAGAACTGCAATACCTGTCAAGTTCGGTATGAGTCCGACCCAAGAAGCGTTAACAGCACCAGTCATCCGTCCTTCATGCCACGCGGCGGGTGAGGCCCAGGCGCTGAGGGAAAAAATGCCCAGTTCCTAACTAACGGAGTGAGGAGGAACTGGGCAATTATTTCCTAGCGTCACTAGACCTCCGATAGACTTCGTGTATGCATCTATTCGCCCCCTACGATTCTTAGTCTTATTGTGCTTTGCAGTTATTTTGCCGACCATTTTAGACGATAGATATGGCAAAGCCTGTTCCTAAATATGTGTGAAAGAAGATTCACGACCTGCTAAAATTATGCATAAATCATAGATATATCGACTTGGAAGGGCCTGTCAGCAGCCGTGCATTGGCCCAGTACACCACCGTCCATGATCCCCAGCACATCCACCCTCTTATGCATAATTGCCGTGTGTGTAGGTGCTTGTGGATAAAAACCGACAGAATTGCAGCTGCACAGCCACATTTGCACTTTCAAAAGTGCAATTGTGGCGCTTTTAGCGTTATTCTAGGCCTCCACCCATTTATGCACCTCGATTTATCGTAAATCTAGCAGGTGGTCGCTATAAAACAGCAAATCTCGTCTCATATTGCCAAAACCATTGCAAAGCACATTATCTTCAATTTTCTACAAATCGGAACAGGCTTTGTCTCAAAAGTCTGCTAAGATGTATATTTTATACACGCAAACGTGTATTTGAAGCGTTTGGCGCGACACCGGGGTCCCATCCTGCCCCGCCAGGTGGGGAAACAACCAGTATTACCGGATAATGATTGCCCCACCGACCAACGCTTATGCGTACGCATGCAGCACATTCAAACATGGATAACAAGCCACCCTTCGTTGATTCAATAAGTATGGCATAAGACAATAATGCAGAACGCAGAAAATGTGATTCTCGACTCGTTCGACTTTTGTTTTGCAGGGCTACAGAACTACAGGATAGAGAACTGGTTGAGCTTCAGTTTGCTCTTCTGTTTCCGCGGTCGTCCAGGCTACGTTTGCTCTTCTTGCTGCTTGGATTCGTGGTCTATTCCGTCTGGTCAGCGCCCAGAACAGGAGGATTTGCTACAGCTCCCGGCACCGCTGGATAGTAGTGTAAGTGTTGCGGAGGGATCAAAAAGCACTTGGCCGATAGCGACTTCATCTTCTTCTCTTTCAGCTCTTTCATTTGGTGGCGAGGAAGTTGTGCGTTTTCGCGGAGAATAGTAGTTTGTGAGCCACCACCACGCCATCTTGCCATTGTGGTTGTTGCCTGGTGATTTGAAACTTCAGCCGCCGCTGCAACTTGGTTCGAGCCTTTTTCATGCCGCTAACTCACCCGTCGTGCACTTACTTACTTACTTACTTACTTACTTACTTACTTACTTACTCATTTACGAGCTAACTGGTTTACTTGCTTGCTTACCTATCGATATCCACAACGAGATCGGTAACCCGTTCTAGCAAATCAATCACATAGACAAACAAAAAGGATATTTGTAGTTTTCGCAGAGTTATTTAACTACGATAGGTCTATAAATCCATTGACACGAGCGGGATTCAACAGGGTATTTCAATGTAGCTAATCATTAGGCCGATTTCTTCCAAATGATCAGGCTGATCTACGACCTCATTTTTGCCGTAGGAACGTTGAAACGGGCAAATGATTAGCCGCTGTTCACCATCCATTCCTCAATCAGCGGCCCGACTTACCCCTCCAGTTATTAATACATGTACGCCGTGGTCGCCGCCGACGCGAGCCAGGTACTCAAGGTACATGACCCACCGTAGACGCCGCCGTCATCGAGAACTTCTGTCTCCGAACGGGTTGACAAGTGCCTTGCATCATCTGGAGAGACGTCGCAGGAACCGCTACTATGAATTGCTGTCAAAGTTTGCGTACGCGGTGAAGCGAAACCACACCAAGAACGCCACCTATTTGGCTCCAATTCCCCCAACTGCGGCGGCATATTTGGAGAGGAACAAAGTCGTGTCACATACATCCCTCACTGCAGCTTGGCTGACGTATACTGAGCTGTACAGTTCCACGTGTAAATTGGTGATGAAGCAAACCACTGTGAAAAAAGGAGTTCGTATGGATCATTTGGTCAAATTTTGCAAGGGATTGAAAGTGTGGGAAGGTCACGGAAAACGAGATAACCTCGCTGACGTGAAAATGTTGCTGCTGGTGCAGAATGAAATAGGGCAGATTGTTGGACGCCGACTCACAAGTTCTGAGAACAAGGAGGAAACGATGCAGCTTCTATCGGACGTGCAACCTCAGCTAGAAACGAATGGTGAATGTAAATATCTGATCACGGATAATGCGCGTGCTGTCCGTGACTTTGTGGCGAGTGTGTATGGAGATTCTGTCATTGTACAGCAGGATCCATTTCACGTGCACCAGCGCTTTGGAAAGCACATCAAAGCGAAGCCTCTTCGGAAGTTCATCTGCAAGGAGATTAAAGCCGCTCTCTACGATGTTGACCGCGAGCCCAGGCCGCCCAAAGAAATGGAGGCAAAGTTGCGCGAAGTGCTGCGCAAGATTACTGCCAATGACTTGGGCTGCACGCTAGCAAAGTGGAACAATACCATTGAGTACAATGTCGCTCAAATCAAGGCCGGTCATTTGCATGTTGCTGAGAATACATATCAGGAGGGTAGCGGGCCTGCTGTGCGTGTTGTGTCGCCCAGCCAGCTCGAGGGGTTCCATTCCGCATTGAAAAAATTGCTGGCGCGGGAGGTGCGAGCCGAGCTTGGCCTGCGCATTCTGGACGTGTTCATCGTGCAGCATAACATCGATGTCGGGGCCCGGTTTGGCAGAAATCCGGCGATCAGCAACGTAGATATGATATCTGCCTGTCGAGCCGCCACTGTATGCACGTTATACGGAGTGGATTAGTAGCGAATACTCCTGAGCAAGAGTTTGCGACGAATCTCGTGTCAGCACCGATACCGGCTCCGCAATATCGTTCCACAACTCAACGTGACTTTGCATTTCGCTCATGGGAACAAATGTTTCAGAGTGCTAACGTCAACGCTTCCGCTCTAGAAACTAACCTGGCAAGCTCACGTCGGCACATGAAAACAATTAGAGAGTTACTGTGGAAAAATGCTACCATACTCCAACAAGGTCAAGGTGACCCCACAGAGTTTATGCATTCTCTCCGAATGGAGGACCACAACTATGAGGGAGGTACGGGGTTATCCTTTGAAGAGCATGAGCTTTTGCGTCAAGTATTTTGTGAGCAAGTCGAATGTAAAAGAAGCTGGAGTGAATGTGATCTTGTTACCACTTTCATGTACAACCTTGTTGTTGCTTCGAATTGCAACTCACATATCAAGCTTCACCGCCGCAGCTATCGTACGTTAGAGAACAAAATCAAAGAACTACGTGCTGACAAGGGCTGTGCACCGTCCAAGCCAGCTGCACCCACCAAGAAGCTGTTGGGTTTCGTTCACAACCCATAAGCCAGGGTAGAGCGAAAGCGTCCGAGCAAGATCTACAAACCTCTCTGTTTACTACACTTCGCGAGTCAAATGCTATAGGGCAGAGACGCAAATATTTTTGTCGAATCTACGATTTTGCGAGCTGCGTGTGCGATAGAGTCCGCTCGTTTTCTAAGGAGTCTTTGCTGAGACGCTGGGATGTGCTTAAGAATTCGCCGGAAACAGATGGTGCTTGCAAAATCAAGTTCAAAGTTATCCGAAGCACGCTAGGGCAGCCTCAGTCTACCTCTAATGCTCTTGAAATGGACTGTACCAGTGATTTGAAGGTCTCGGACGTGACTGGAGCAAGGTCCACGGCAGCACCACCATCGCTACTCGATATGCCAGAAGTGACCCTCCTTCAAACCGCATCGCTCGACACGTCTCGGCTTCGAACCGGGGATAGCTCTGTGGCGTAGCGGGATCAGCAAAATCTGCGAGATTGCCAATCCAACTTACCAACTGCGCCCGAACACCGACTTACAGAGGGGGTCCCCCGATGATCCGTGATCTGTGTGCTGAACTGGTCACCTTGTGTACCCGTCGGTAGGGCTGGATCTGCTCCTCTGGTGTCTGCTGAAGCGTCCGAGCCTTGAAGACAGATCAGTCTGGGTGAGACGCGGGGATGTGGGTGGAGCAGCGTGGAAATCTTCACTCTGCTCGCGGTAGTATTCCAAATCCAGTGGCCCTGTACTTGGATCTGGCGGCCTGGATCTGGATCCGGCCGGGTTGTTGCCTTTCGTGGTTGTTGTCCTTTACGTTGCCTTCGCAGGTCTTCCTTGGTCGTGTTTGCCGCCTCCAATGACGGTGTCGTTGACAGTTGAGATGAGAGGACGCACCGGCCAAACTGATAACTCCGGTGGATCTTGGATCTGCACTTGCAGGTAGTTCACTAGGAAGGTCCTGGATCTGGCCAATATATTACTCCAGTCTTACAACCAACACTAGATCTGCTACCGCTAACCTCTCTACGCCGTGTAGGGCCAATGTCGTTCCCGTTTCCAGGCGAGGGAGGAAGCGCTTGCGTTGTACAAGGCAAATTCTGGTCTGATTTATGCTTAAGTTCGCTCCTATCCCAAAGTCCTATCGCCATGTGGCTCCTATCATCCGATCTGTACCTACCGACTCTATGGACTCCCTTTACCTTCATTGCGTGTCAGCTGCTTGCCCGTAGGGTCGTGTCTACAACTTCCTGATTACGCCTGGATGTGGATCCAGATCCACGCTGGATCTTGGATCTTGGATCTTGGATCTGGATCTTGGATCTCCATTGGTGCAGATCCAGATCCACCTGAGTCTTGGATCTTCGACTCCCCGTTTCTTGGAACCCACTTTACCACAACCGCCTCCTGTCCGTAGTTGGCGCCGCACAACGGTGTCACTGCGGACACTTCCTCCGATCAGGATCCTAACTTCCAATTCGATTCAGTCTGTCCAACTTCGCCTTCGCCGTTGTCTAGGGCATTGGCTTAGCTCAAGGGCTTCTGTCATCTCCAGATCCATCGCCTCCTGCCTTGTTCAGACGCCGTTTGCGTCCGATCCTCACATACAAGTATACAAATGTCTCCATTCACCGACCTGCAACCGCCTTGCAGATCCATCACCATACTCTCCAACCGAAGCGACCCGGTGAATCTCAGCCCCACTACTCCTCATGAGACTGCATTACACCAAAACGATTCCTGTTGGTGCGATCCCGCAAGAACTCGTGCAATATTGCTCCACAGTTCAGATCCGCCTCATCCACCCAGGATGGATCTTCATATCCACGCCAGTGTACCGGGAATTCACGGTGGATCCGGCCGTAACGAGTGCGCTTTCCAGTCCTCATGTCAGTAAGTTTCTCCACTTCGTACTCATCTTCACCTAGATCCTGGGTCCAGCTGTCCTCCGGCAGTAGTGCCTCGTCGAAGTCATATCGCTCCGTAGTGTCTTCGGTCAACTGGATCTGGGGTCGGTCTGGGAAGTTCCTCACAAGCTTCAACTTGGAAACATGTACCACAGGGAACAGCCGATATTCCGTGCCAGGGGTCTCGACCGCACAGCGTATTCTCCCATCTTTTCCGCCACCCGGAACGGACCGTGCCACATGTGAGCCAACTTGCGCGCATATCCTTCCTTCACCCGATCCAAATACAACCAAACTCTGGATCCAATTTCAATCTGGTAAGCATACAAACAACGTATAGTGGAAGATGTTAAGCACAGAACGGTATTGTACTATGCACGATATCAGTGCGCTGGCACCAGTAGAAAATTGTTTTCTACTATTAGTGACTCATATCTCGCTTCGTCTAAGCTGTTGGTGCTGGATTTCCCCTACTTACTAACATACAAGACAGGAATCTCTTCAGATATGTTTGACATCGTATATGACGGTATGTTATCTACGAAAGGAATTGCAGGTGCAGTTGCAAACACCGTCCGGCGACGCCAAAAGAGGTTTTACCAGCTTCGGTCTCGAGTTGGAGCGAAGGTAGAGCAGCTGCGTGCTGGGGATGCAACCTACGTCCCTCCCCTCCCTCCAACAGAGGAGCAATACATGTCAAAACACTCGTGTGGATGCCGAAATGCTAAAAGAACTATGGCTAACACACACTACCATTTTAAGTCGCTTGTGCGCAGCACAGATGACAGAAACGAAGTGTGATCGTGTTTTCCGAATGGATCACTCACAAAAATTCTGTAGCAAGCTTAAGGTATTCGGAGCTAATGGCATCAAAGAGCAGTCAGCAGCTATTCGTATGCTGCTGCTTGTTCAAAATGAGGTAGGGCAAATTTTGGGGAGAACGCTAACCCAGTCTGAGAATCATGCAGAAACAGAGGCGCTCTTAAAAACAATGACGCCCAAAATAATAAGTGACTCCGATGGGCCTCGGATATGTGTTTGTGACAACGCCAATGCCAACCGCAATCTCATTGAGAGAGTGTTCGGCGATGCGGTGGTAGTCAAACAAGACCCTTTTCATGGTATTTCAAGGTTCACCGAGAAAATAAGTGATAACAGTAAGAAGCGGTGGCTTTCCAAGCAACTGTCTGCTGCAATCTGGAGCGTAACCTGCGCCCGCCACACGAGTGTGAGCGTCGTGTCAAGTCGCTACTAGAGTCGCTGGATCCTGCTGGTATTTCCGTGAAGCGTTCTGAGTGGGATGGATGCGTTGCCAGTAACCTGGCCCAGATCCGGCGGGGGGACCTGTACGTGGGCTAGAATCAGTACACAGAGGCAGGGGGTGAAGTGCGTATTATCTCCACAAGTCAGCTTGAAGCCATTCACTCCAAGCTACGAAAGCTGCTTGATCGTGTTCTCTCAGTTGAAGTGGGCTTACGCATTCTGGACATCTTCATTCTACAGGTACTATACTTGTTTGAAAATCAAACTCTATATCTCTACTAACTGATCTTGCGCAGCACAGCCTTAGCGTCGGGGCGAAATATCGCCGAAACCCCGAGTTTCACGGCTCTGATTTTAGATGTTTGTGTCAAAGTGCTGTTGTCTGTAGTGGTTTGCTGCCAGAGACTCCACAGCTCGAGTACGTCATGAAGCTGATGACGATCAAGTCCAGGGACCTTGCTCCGAGCAGCAGTTATCGTAGTTCAGCAGCCAAGCCAGATGAGCACAGGCCTTGGGAGCAACTGTTTGAGATGATCCAGCTTCGAACGTCTAATAAGGAAGCCAAGCTTCTGTCTGGTGCGGTCCCTTCAGAAGATATTCGGGCGCTACTATCAAATGCATTCAACTGCGACAACCACTTCAATCGAAAAAAACTAATTGAGTTTCTTCGCTTGGAGCCCGAGTGCGACAGCTCAAGAGATTTTTCAGCTCACGAATTTGCTGTCTTGAAGGAAGCTCGCGCTGAACACCTTTCTGCCAGCCGCGAATGGTCTAGCAGCGAAGCTGTGGCAACGGTTCTAAACAACTGTGCAGTGGGGCGTCTCGATAATCGAGCGTTAAAACCCCGAAAGCGTGGCTTTCATGCAATTTCCAAGCGTCTACCAGGTTTTGATGACATGCTCAAGACGTCTCCACCAGTTCTGGACTCACGTATGGTGATCATGACTGACAAACCCATCAACGACGACAAGATCACACCGGATGAGGAAGCTTTGATGAAAACTTTATTCGCAATGGTTCGCAAGTCGTCGCTCAAGAACAAACGGCAGGTATTTGTAGTGGTTTTTAATTTCGCAGCGGCAATGTGTGACGGGATTGAGCCCAAATCCGCCGAGTTCCTGAATCGTCGCTGGGGGTCGGTGAAGCGATCGAAAAATCGCGTCAAGAAGGCCCAAGGCGATGGAGATGACGAGGAGAAGGCGTCAGCCAGGTCTTCACCCGATTTACAAGCTGATCAGGATACCAAATCGTTGGATGATAGACTATGCGCACCTACCGAGCGTAGAGCTAGGGTTTCCGGGTCCCTCACTGGCATCCCGTCAGAGCCACAGCAACCGGCAGCCGCATTAACTTCCTCTACATCGGCACCAGCTGCCTGTGAACAAGGTTAACTTATCGGTGCCGAACAGGTTAACGACGCGGTCATCAATACTCCAGTCGCGATCACACTATCAGCTGCAGCAGCAACTTACCAACTGGCTCAATGGGACCTAGACACTGAAGCCCAGCTTCGCCTAATTGCAGTATCGTTAGGCAAAGGGCGCAAGGGGAAGTGGAAATTAATCCACAGTGAACCTTAAACGGTACCCTGGCTCCAAGTTGGGTCAAAATGCTGTTCGTATGCGTCTTTATGATCGACAAATAGCGGCCAAAACAGTCCCGGCAGCTCCAACGTCAATCGCCCCGTCATATGGACGACAAGAAGAGCAGGCATCAACATCCTCAGCTCCAGCTTCAAACAAGCGCCCTCGGCCGTCGTGTGATAGCTGTCGAAAAACGAACGAAGATGTGGACCAAACAGCGGCAACCAGCACTGCGAACAACGCCAAGCAAGAGAAGGCCAGCAAAACATCTTATCATTTTTCAGTTGAACTTAAATATTACTTGATAAGCATCGCTATAATATCTGTTTAAAGGCGCAGCACATTGCATCTTAGAGTTAGAACGCATTCATTGTTTGAGGCCAGACAATAGCAGCCTTACCGGTAGAAATTACACAGCACTGGGGCTGCAACAGAGTCGCTGGCTTCATGGAGATGCGCGCTGGAGCAGGAACAGTCCTGGCAATAGTAGATTCCACCAATAGAGCTGCTACAGCGAGGCAGAGCTCCAGCGTTAAGATGCAATCGGAGCTGGGATCGTAGCGAAGGAGCCTGACAAGCAGTCACAATAACGTAAGCAGCGGTGATAAAGCACGCGTCGAGCCATGATGCAGTGACCTGAATACGATGAAGCACTACTTACCGTTCAGGCGAGCGCACAAAAGCAGGAGCACGGCAGCTGCTAAGCAGAAGATCACCCCATGACTCAGCCCGCTGCCTCCGATATCTTTGATGCGAGGCCTATAGCAGCAGCAAACCAGAAGCACAGTGCGGATGCACGTTATTGCATAGTCAAGCACCACTAGAACAGCTCTAATAACTCACCATGAGGGCGGAGCTTCCTCCGTCGTGGCACGCCGCCTGCCTTGGCTTCCGTCCGTCGTTTCGCTGAATGAGCGCAAAGAGCAAAGTTCAGCTGCTTCGGTCACAAAATTCATTTAGGTTTAGTATTGAAAGAGGGGGTGTCGCCCTTATTGTATCGTGAGCCTACCGGGACATGTACCGGGACAGGCACCTGGTCTAAACTGGTCCCATCTGGTCAAGTTGGTCTAATCTGGTCCCGGGACAAGCCCACGAATTCCGGTCAAGCCCCGATTCCTCTCCCCGGTATTATTTCGACCAATCAGAGAGTACTATAGATCGGGCTCAAGCTTACTGTCAGATCGCTATTTGCAATCGAAACCCACGCGTGCAGGTCTTCTCGAGGCGATCTGCGCTTCATAATCCTCGCGGCGAGCCCTCCTGCCTACACTACGCACGAACGCTGTGAAGCCCTCCTGCCTACACTACACGCTTATGGGGCGGCGTCAGCTCTGTACTGAGCGCCGACGGACTTCAGACATCCGTTCATGTGCAGCAACTGCGGTGCGTCCTTATCGCATGCTTAAGTGGATTGATGTTGCTTCTGTGGGTACTCATTGAAAAAGTTGTGCGCTTGTTGACTATGCAAGATTTTAGGCTACTGGCGGTACCACTCTACAGCAGCGGTATTCTCGCTGAGCAGTGAGGTTTGGGAGAGCAATGGCAAGGCCGAGGACATCGCCTTCATGGGACTGGACCACAAGCTTACCCCGAAGCTGGCCGAGACCGGCTTAATTGCGTGCGGTCGACGCGTGAGCCACAGTAGAGAGCGTCAGTCATCGAGGAAGAGCACCCCCAGCACCGCTCCAAGTCGTCCAGACGCCAGTCGCGCCAATACCAGCAAATTGCTGGTCGACATCGTGGCTCCGAGGCTGGACACTCAATCTAACCCATTTATTTATCGAAGGTGGGGATTAATGTGTATTTGGGCTACTACAGACTGTGTAAGTAAATGCTAAATCGTGGTGTTTTTTTTTTATCTCCTTTGCGGTGTGAAATAACTATCTAATGTGTTGGCTTGATTTTGGGCCAACTTTGCGCAGTCAGGGTTCTCCTTCGAGTCTCCACATTTTGCGTGCTTCTTTCGGCAATCGTCGCAGAAAGTTGCCTTCCTTTTGCGTGCCTTGCGTGCTGCAGTACCGGGGGTTGGAGCTGGCGTAGTAGGTGTTGGTGCGGTGGGCGCCGTAGCTTCATTCCTGAATGATCGCGACTGGCAGTTCCGGATCGGCATTCTGAGTTGGTTGGGTGTAATTGCAGATCCTGGATAGAACCCTTTGAACAACTCCATAAGGTGCTTTGACTTACCATATCTGCCCTCGTAATTCTCAGACTCTTGTACTAATATATCCATGTGCTCTTTGCTGATGGATACAGGCGGTGACACCGTCATTTGCGCGTAGCGGACTTCTGATTCACCTTCAGCTGGTAAAGTGGATTCCAAGAAACGGGGAGTCGAAGATCCAAGACTCAGGTGGATCTGGATCTGCACCAATGGAGATCCAAGATCCAGATCCAAGATCCAAGATCCAGCGTGGATCTGGATCCACATCCAGGCGTAATCAGGAAGTTGTGGACACGACCCTACGGGCAAGCAGCTGACACGCAATGAAGGTAAAGGGAGTCCATAGAGTCGGTAGGTACAGATCGGATGATAGGAGCCACATGGCGATAGGACTTTGGGATAGGAGCGAACTTAAGCATAAATCAGACCAGAATTTGCCTTGTACAACGCAAGCGCTTCCTCCCTCGCCTGGAAACGGGAACGACATTGGCCCTACACGGCGTAGAGAGGTTAGCGGTAGCAGATCTAGTGTTGGTTGTAAGACTGGAGTAATATATTGGCCAGATCCAGGACCTTCCTAGTGAACTACCTGCAAGTGCAGATCCAAGATCCACCGGAGTTATCAGTTTGGCCGGTGCGTCCTCTCATCTCAACTGTCAACGACACCGTCATTGGAGGCGGCAAACACGACCAAGGAAGACCTGCGAAGGCAACGTAAAGGACAACAACCACGAAAGGCAACAACCCGGCCGGATCCAGATCCAGGCCGCCAGATCCAAGTACAGGGCCACTGGATTTGGAATACTACCGCGAGCAGAGTGAAGATTTCCACGCTGCTCCACCCACATCCCCGCGTCTCACCCAGACTGATCTGTCTTCAAGGTTCGGACGCTTCAGCAGACACCAGAGGAGCAGATCCAGCCCTACCGACGGGTACACAAGGTGACCAGTTCAGCACACAGATCACGGATCATCGGGGGACCCCCTCTGTAAGTCGGTGTTCGGGCGCAGTTGGTAAGTTGGATTGGCAATCTCGCAGATTTTGCTGATCCCGCTACGCCACAATGGTGCGCGTGCCCGGATCTTCTGGTGACTCGGGATTTCACCGTGAGTCCCAAGAAGAAGTTCGAGTGAAGAAGGAACAAGGGGATCAAGCGTCTTCGGAATCGGGATCGACGACGACGCTGCTGAATGAAACAAGATCCACGGATCGGCAGAGTGCAAGGAGGACCTCTATCGGCGGAACCGAGGTGGATCCAGACATGGATCCAGAAGAGAAACCTCAACCTCCTCCACAGGTCCCTTCAGGGACCCCGGTGATTGCGACGAAAGTCAAGATCCACTAACAAAACAAACCAAGGCTGGCCAGGATCGGTATGCATTTTCTGACTCTCCAGTCAAACAAGAGCCCTACATCTTTCATCCAGACAAGACCCAGACGAAGAAGACCGCTACGAGAAGGAAGATGAAGGCCCCGGAGCTGGAGGACGAAGATCCAGAAACCTCGGCCCAGGATGGATCCGAGGCATCATGGATCCGTCATCACGAGAAGCAACTACGCAGCTTTCTGACAGTGGATCCAATTATGCAGAAGTTCGGCGTGAAGCAGATCGGAGCCCTACAGGGACCCTTGACACTTCCGGCAGCCGTTAAGCGTCCAGGAATCTTGGCAGAGATGGAACGCTTGATGCAGCTTCTGAGGGATGCCGGTCTCGTGGCTGGAGCGTTCGACGCGTCAGTGATGTACGAGATCGATCCAATCCAACTCCGTGCCACGACGGAGATGCTGTTCAACCGGCTGAAGGTGCGAGATCCAGCCGAAGCCGGATCCCGCAATCCTGGATCCAAGATCACTACAAGAAGGATCCACAGGATGTCGGACGTCGTCACCTTATGTGTCGGCTGGTCGGACACGTCTTCGGAGCCGCGACGCATGTCACTTGGACCATCGGGAGCCTCGATGCTACGCGCCCGAGCCCAGATCCAACGTGAAGCGCGTCCTCAGCCCCGATCCCAGCCTCGATCCAAGAAGCAGCCAGCTCCATCAGTGGATCCAACAGCGACGGCATCAGGATCCGACA